ACGCCTTGATGCTGCAAAACAGGAATATGAAAAAGTGAACGAGTCTGTAGAGAAACTTCAAGCCAATCTTGTGAGTGTTGAACAACAGCTAGCTGCCTTGGCCTCTAGAAAGAAGAAGATTGTCGCGCTCTTGGATAAACAACAAGTGAAGTTGGCTAACAGTCAAGAGAACATTGACATTATCGAAGGGGAGATTTATACCATTGAAGCCAATCATCCATTATCTGATGATGAAGCAGAGAAATTATCCCTCCTGAAAGGGGCAGTTGAGACAAGCCGCTAACAAATCCTTAGCTTCAAACCTTTTCCATGATTTTAGAGTTTTTTTTTTGCTTAGGATTCTCGACTTACGATTTTTTTTAATTATTTTTTTTAATTTTTTTATAACTAATATCATGTAATGGAGTACTTATTTCTTGGAGCAATAAAAGCATCTTTAGTTTTAGTATGTGATATCTCTCATTGAGACCTGGATTCCTTCTGTTACTCCCAATTATTTCTTTCTTAAATTTCAGCACATGTCTTGTGCGTTGGCTTTGTTGCTTCGCACGCTCTTGTTAAAGAAAGTTATATCTTGAGCTAGGAGTGTCGGAATTACAATCTGTTTGCACCATTAGAAAGAAAACTCAGAGATCTAAAGTACCTATAAATTTCATGGCAGAGCTCCTTTCGGGCTATCAACAGAAAATTTGCGACATCGACTTAACTATAGTGAACTTTCAGATTTGCGTACCTTCGGCGAAAATAATTTTATCTTGAGCTAGGAGTATCGGAATTATAATCCGTTTATAATGTCAGAAAGTAGACTCAGAGATCTAAAATTCATATAAATTTTATAATAGAACTCCTTTCGGACTGTCAACAGAAAATTCGCAAATTTGACTCAACCGCAGTGAACTTTCAGATTTGCGTACGTTTGGCAAAAATAATTGTATCTTGAGCTAGGAGTATCGGAATTACAATCCGTTTGTGGTGTTAGAAAGTAGACTCGGAGATCTAAAACTCATATAAACTTTATAACAGAACTCTTTTCGGACTGTCAACAGAAAATTTGCAAAATCAACTCAAGCGCAGTGAACTTTCAGATTTGCGTACTTTCAGCCAAAAAATCATATCTTGAGCTTGGAGTGTCGGAATTGCAATCCGTCCGTACCGTTAGAAAATAAACTCAGAGACTTGAAGTACCTATGAATTTATGGCAGAACGTTTTTCGGTCTACCAACAGAAAGTTTGCGAAGTCTACACAACTGCAGTGAACTTTCAAATTCGCATGCATATAGCAGTCTTTGCGGTATAAGACCTTCTGGATTAATCAAAGTTCCAGATCGTGTATTGCTTGACCCTTTGGAACCCAAGTTAAAATATTTCACAGTTAGGCTACATGATGGGGGAATAACTCACATTGGATTCAACTACGCAAAGCTTTATGGTAGCATCATATTTTGAAGAAATGAAGCGAACTTGGAAAGGCATTCAAGACAAGATAGCGACAATCTTTCGCGTCAATTATTTTTATGACTTAGATTCTTCGAATAGGACAAAGTACAAATATTTTCATACTTTTAGTCTCTTGACAATGATGTATCAAATCCTTGTAGTATTAAAGCAATGAAATGTCTATTTTGGCCCGATACAAATTGCATTCTTTCTTTCTGCAATATGCGCCTATTTGAGTGATCAACGTGATGCCTCGACTCGAATTTTGATGATCATGTCACGTTGAAACACATTTTTTTAAAGTTGAAGCGACTGAACTTAGAATGAAACTCTAAGCTGCCTACGTACCTCGGTGAAGAGGATCAAGTCATAACGTAGTTCAAAATAAGTGAGTTATTTATTTTTTGTTTCCTAGGCCGCCTCTTTCAAGGTTTTCAACCTAGCGAATTTTTTTATGTCCTAACTTTTTCCTAGGCCGCCTCTTTCGAGGTTTTCAACCTAGCGGACTTTTTATGTCCTAACTTTTGCCTAGGCCACCTCGAAAGAGGACTTATTATGTCCTAACTTTTGCCTAGGCCGCCTCTTTCGAGGTTTTCAACCTAGCGGACTTTTTTTTTTGTGGGTGCCGTTCACAGTTTAGGCTCATGTAGGCCAGGAGCATGTCTTCTTCAAGGATAATACCTTTTCAAAAAATTTCCATTGATAGGGTCAATTCTCATACCATCTGCATCAACTAACTTGTAAGCTCCACTTGAATAAGCTTCTTGCACAACATATGGACCATCCCATTTTGAAGTGAATTTGCCTCCGGATTTGCGAGAGGTGATAATAGTTCTTCTTACTGCAAGAACTTGATCGCCAACTTGGAAGGACCTCAAGCAAACCTTTTTGTTGAAAGCACGAGAAAGACGAGCTTGATAACATTCAAGACTTTGTTGAGCTTCTAGCCTTTTTTCATCAAGGGACTCTAGTTCTTCAAGGCGCAGACGAGCATTTTCTTCTTCAGTAAGACCTTCTTGGACAGGAGTCGCAAGGATAGTATTTGACGCTCAAGAGGAAGAACTGCTTCGACTCCATAAATAAGAGAATAAGGAGTTGCTTGTGTCGGCGTGCGTTGAGTCGTATGATATGCCCACAAAGCTTCTTCCATTCTGTCGTGCCAATCTCTTTTAGACTTGGAGACAACCTTCTTTAACAAGTTGCAAAATGTCTTGTTAAATGCTTCGGCTAGTCCATTTGCAGCAGCATAATACATTGGCGAATTACGTTGCTTGAAGCCAAAAAGTTCACAGATCTTGGTCATCAATTTGTTATCGAACGGTTTACCATTATCTGTTATTATATAACTAGGAATACCGAAACGATATATGATGTTTACTCGAATGAAGTTTGTGACATTCTCTTTCTTCACTTCCTTGAGAGTGATGGCCTTGACCCATTTTGAGAAGTAATCAGTTGCAGCCAAGATGTATAGATGTCCTCCAGAAGATTTTGGAAGTGATTCAACAACATCTAATCCCCAAGCGTCAAATGGCCAAGATGCAACAGTAGGATGTAACATTTCAGGTGGTTGGTGTATAAAATTTGCGTGAAACTGGCAAGCCTTGCATCTTCGAGCATAATCTAAGCAATCTTTCACCATTGTCGGCCAGTAGTAACCCATCCTCTTAATGTGAAAGTGGAGCTTCGGCCTAGATTGATGTGATCCACAAACTCCAGAGTGTACCTCTTGCATAGATTGAGTTGCTTCATCTTCCCCTAAACAACGCAAGAGAACTCCCTCAAATGATCTTCGATACAAAGTGTCCTTGTAGTAAAGGAAGCGAGGGGCACGCCGACGAATTTCGGTCTTTCTCCTTGGATCTTCTGGGAGTATCCCATAACATAAGTAGTTGATCATGGTTTATCTCCAATCAACCTTCTCAGCTTCAGCGACGGCTACCAAATGCTCGAGCTTGCTTTCTTCATCCTCGTTCTCATCTGGTGGTACTATCCATTTTTGGCAGATAGTGATTTGTTTTTGGCCGGGCAGAGTCAATGTCGAAGCTAGAGCAGCTAAGGCGTCGGTTTTCTTATTTTTCTTCCTTGGCACATGCTGAAGAGTTACATTGCCAAGCCATCTAATCAATTTCTGCGCATAATCATGATAAGGATGCAATTTTGGCCTTTTGACCTCGTAGCTACCTAGCAATTGATTCATCACTAACTCAGATTCTCCAAAAATATGTAATTGGAGTTGTCTCATATCAACGGCCATCTCAAGCCCAAGTATGAGTGCTTGATATTCTGCAACGTTGTTGGTGCAATGTTGTGTTAAGGTGAAAGAATATGGCAAGACTTCTCCTTGAGAAGTGATAAACACAAAACCTGTACCAGCTCTTTTACGATGTGCGGCACTATCAAAATACATTTTTCATGGTGGTTGCACTTCGATGACCATTGCATCCTCATCAGGTAGTTCATCAGTCAACTCCCAATCATCAGGTATTGGATGATCTTCCAAGAAATCTGCCAAAGTTTGTCCTTTCATAGCTTTTTGTGGGATGTACACAATCTCGAATTGTTGAAATTGGAGGTACCACCTTGCTAACCGATCATTGAGGACGGGTTTTGACATAACAAATTTGATCGGGTTCACCCTTGAGACGAGACGGATGAAATGAGCTTGAAAATAGTGCTTCAAATTTTGAATTGCGAAAATCAATGCCAGACACAACTTTTTGATCGGAGAATACTTCAGCTCATTTGGGGTCATCATTCTACTCAAGTAGTAGAGGGAATTTTCTATACTTTCACCATTTTCTTGGGCCAAAAGGGCTCCAACTGACCTTTCTTGGGCTGCAATATATAGAATCAATGGCTTTCCTGGTATAGGGGCTGCCAGAATCGGAGGTTTCATTAAGTAGGATTTGATACTTTGGAATGTGTTGCTACAAGCTTGGTCCCATTCAAAAGGTACACCCTTCTTCATGAGACGGCTAAAAGGCTGGCACTTCCCTGCTAGATTTGAGATGAATCTTCTAAGGTACGCCAATTTTCCTTGTAGACTTTTCAGTTCATGTATATTTCTGGGCTCGGGCATCTTCAAGATTGCATCAACTTTGGCTTGATATCTCCGGAGTCGTTCGAACACCATTCTTAAGTCTTGCAAGTGGTCTCCTCCCTTTCTTGATTTCACCACTAAATCATCCACACAGCATTTCCGCATACTTGTGGAGGATGTCGTCAAAGATATTCTGCATTGCCCTTTGATATGTGGCACCGGCATTCTTCAAGCCAAAAGGCATTACTTTATAGCAATAAATTCCTTTAGGAGTGCGAAATGCAGTAAGCTTTTCATCTTTCGGTACCATACGTGTTTGATTGTAGCCAGATGATCCATCCACGAAAGACATCGCCTCATATCTGGTGGTGGGATCAATCATAAACTCTGGGATGGGGAGCGGAAATTCGTTCTTAGGGCATGCATTATTGAGGTCTCTAAAATCGACACAAACTCGAATTTGGCCATTCTTCTTCTTCTTCTTCTTCTTCACATGAACAATGCTTGAAATCCATGTAGGTTATTTAATCTCCTGAATGAAACCAGCTTCGATGAGTTTATTGGCCTCAACTTCGATTGATGGGATCAATTCTGGCCTGAAGCATCTTTGGGCTTGCTTAACAAGACGAGCTCCTTTCTTGACCGCGAGATGATGGACTGCTACTTTAGGATCTAAACCAGGCATCTCTTTGTAGCTCCAAGCAAAGACATCTCTATATTCTTTGAGTAGCTCCACATAAGTGATTTCTTCATATGTGGTTAGTAGGGCACTTACATAGGTGGGCCTGGAGTCTTCTGCAGTGCCAAGGTTGACTTCCTTCAATGCGTCAACTGTCATTTTAATTCCTTCTTCTAGTTCCGAAAGAGCATCCTCGATATCTTCGTCTTCTTGGGGATCACCGTCATTAAAAGATATATGGCCACACAAAGAGGCATCTCCCAAATTTTCGTCGACCTTCCTTAGAAATGAAGTGTATTGCTCCTCATTCGCAGTAATGTGATATGCAGATCCTACATTTTTTTCATCTACGTCACGCTCTCTAGTGTGGATCACTGTGCGAGTCTTCACTTTGAGTACCTCTCCGTATGAAATCAAAAGTTCTGATTGTCGCCTCACTCTGGAAGGGATCAGGCTTTGACACTCTTTTGAGATACTTTGGACTCTAGATGGCAAAGGTCTTCTTATTTTTTCATAATTTCTTTGGGACTTGTTCTTCTTCCTTTTCAATGGCCCCAACCTCTCAAATACAGAAGTTCTTGTAGTTGGTTCTCCAAGTCGATCAAATACAGAAGGCCTTTTATTAGGATCAACGTGTTCATCTTCCATCGTGATATAGTTACTACTTGCTCTTCTAATGGAAATGCGAACTGGTGGGGGTTGTTTGTAACCCAGACCCTTACGTGATTGCTTCGCCACATGCTCCTTATTCTTCATCGTGTTTGCTTTCTTAGTAGCTTCAGGTGGGAGCTTCCCTAGCTTAGACGGTTCGTTGGGATCATATCCAGCCTTTGCGAACAACCTGTAAGCATTCAGATCAAAACCTTCATTTGTGCGTTTCGTGGGGAGTGCCTTATTTTGAGGTATGTTAGGGGCCACAAACTTTTCCAGTAGCTTTGAAGATAACTTTATGGTATCGATCTGCTTGATAGGATGGTTAATTCTCTTAGTGCCTCTTTTTGGAGGCTTGATGGTTCTCCTTCATCTTTCTTCACTTTTGGGACGTAACGAAATAAAGGAGCTATTTTCTTGCATGCAGTTGCAGCATTATGTTTGTGAGCTTTTGAAACTTGGTATGCTTCTATTGTAACTTTATCTTCACCAGAAGCTACTTCAACCCTTTTGGACACGATATTATCATCTTTGGCCTTCATGATGTCATCAACTTTTACTCCCTTCACGATGTGGTTCTTCAAGTAGAACTTTGTATCAGCGAAGTATGCCTCGGCTTCAACGAACGGTTTGTCGTCAGCAACTATCTTCTTTTCGACTCCATCTTTATTATATTTCAAACATTGGTAGTAAGTTGATGGGACAACTTTGTTCTCGTGTATCCACGGCCTACCAAGCAACAAGTTGTATGAAGTCTTTGCATCAATCACATACATACATGCAGTTGATTGCATATCTCCCATGGTGATTTCCAGTTTGATAGCTCCTATGGCCCTTTGTCCCCCTTGATTGAATCCTTGAATCATCAGTCGGTTTTCAGAAAGTTCTTCAGTTGAGATGCCAAGTTCTTTCATTATGCAAATGGGAAGAATGTTAACTGCAGATCCGTCATCTATCAAGATTCTGTTTATCCTCCACTTGAGCACATAACCCACCATAAACAAAAGGGTAATTGTGTAGTGTCTCAGCAAGTAGGAGATCGTCTTCAGTGAAGGTGATTTTTGCATTACAAACATCTGCTTCTTGGAAGGAGGACTCAACAAGACTATTAGATAGTGATGGAGACAGTGTTTGTGTGACATCATTCTTTTCCTCTTCTTCTTTATCAGCATTACAACACAAGGCCTTATCATCATCATCAGAAATCCTCATGCGAAACCAACTGGGCAAGAATTCACCCAAAGTCACCGGGTGGCATGGCTTTTGGTGATGATGTGTCTCTATATCCACCTTCTTTGGGTTCTTAACCAGTAGTTTCTTCTTTGGTCTTCTCACCATCTTATTCCTCGTAGGTTGCTTCGTTGATCCTTTTTGCGGACTCAATTTACGGCGTCTTCGACGAGTCACCAAGATCCAACCTTCTTCATTAGGTTGATCAACTCGGACTTTGTCATCCTCCAATAATTCTTCATCTTTATTCCCTTAACAGGTGCATATCTCAATCGGATCGAATGAGCCAAAGGCAATGGACACATGGTTTGTGCTCGCCTTTTCGTCTTCAAGCTCGATCTTCTTTTGACGAGCCTAATCCATAACTTTGTCCTTGAAGACAAAACACTTCTCAAGAGGGTGACCTATAAGCTGATGATATTTGCAGTAATTCGGGTCATTGCTTTTTCCAGCTTCATCTAGCCGCTTCATCTTTGGCAGCTCAATAAGCTTTAGCTCGAGGATTTCTTCAAATATTGCAGGCACATCAGAGTCTAGAAATGGGTACTCCTTTTCTTGCATCTCTTTGAGAGTCAACTTTCGATTTGCATTGTCTTGAGAGGAAATTGTTTTCATACTCTGTTCTTGCTCACCTTGGTAGTAAACTTCAAAGGAGAGGCATTGACGTTCATGGATTCTTTGCTTTCATTCTTGGGTACGAACTTGCTCCATTTCTTGACTTCTTGCTTGTCTCTTCCCTTGCGAGGTTCGTAGATGGGCAGCCCTTCATTTCCGGTAGAAGCCATGCTCAACTCCATATCATGAGCACGAGTGGAAAGTTCTTTAAATGTCTTGGGCTTAATTCCTTGCAAGATGTAACGAAGTCCCCAATGCATTCCTTGGATGCACATCTTTATGCCAGAACCTTTGCTTAGTCTATCTTTGCAGTTAAGGCTTGCATTCCTCCATCGGTTGATAAAGTCAATAACTGGTTCATATTTTCGTTGGCGAGTGTTCGTAAGTTCCACCATGCTCACAATACGCCTCGTGCTATAAAAGCGATTAAGAAACTCTTGCACCAATTGGTCCCAACTGTCAATGGATCCAGCCTCGAGGTCAGTGTACCAATCAAAAGCATTCCCCTTTAGTGAGCAGACGAACTGCTTGACAAGGTAATTTCCATAAGTCCCTGCATTGTTTCATGTCTTAACAAAGTGCGCAATATGTTGCTTTGGATTTCCCTTGCTGTCAAACTGTTGAAATTTAGGAGGTTGATAGCCGGCAGGCATCTTCAAGCTATCGATTCTAGCAGTATACGGCTTTGCGTACGTGAGAGAAGACTTTGAAGCGACCTCATACTTATCTTTGATAGTTACCACAATGAATTCCTTCAATTATTCGATAGGAATTGATCCTTCGGAGGAGACATGAAGTTCTTTGGCATATGACACTTGTTTTGTTGGGGGATCAGCCTTCTCATGGACTTCAAGGAGCTTTCCAGGTGCATGGCTTGATTCTCCATCCATCATGCTTTCAACTATGCCTGTCAATTTTGTGATACGAACATCTTGATCTTGAGCATACTTTGTTAAGCCATTAATCGCCTTTGTCAGGTTTGCGAGTTGCTCCTCCATTGTCAAAGTGTTGGTCATCATTGCCTCCATGATTATTGCAGATGATGAAGAATAACCGAGACCTTCCCATGGATTGAACTCAGTTTGGAACATGTCATGTGGTGAGATTGGTGTTGAGCCAACACTTAAAACTTCATCATCACTCTTGGTATTATATAAAGTAAGTTGAGCAAGAGCTTTCTCCACAACTTCTGCAATATTATCTCCTCTCTCTGATTTCCTAGCAGAGGACCTTTTTTCTTCGGATGATGAAGATCTCAAAGCAAGCATTAGTGTTAACGACACTTGGAGTGCTTGTTGTCCTAAGACGTTCGCCTTGCTTCGGGTGATTGGCCCAAGACTCCCCATAGTAACGTTCAGGATACTTTCAATGTCAGAAGAAAACTTGGAGTCAACAACTTTTGAGTCGATCTTCTTTGAAGCCATCTTAGCGATCTTGAATGTTGAGAGTTGAGAAGAGATGAGAGGTAGAGATGGTCCCACTGGGCCTGCCAAAATTTGTAACAACTAAATTTCGTTCCTGAAAAATAATAATCAAGACAAGAAATATAGCGACAAATATTATATTCAATTTCAAGTGATGGAGTTACAATCTCTAGAATATCTCGAATCTAAAAAGATGTGGTCCTTTGATTCTTCTCCTCATGAATAATGGTTCAAGAGCTTGAGAGCTTGATCTTGAACTTGACGGATTTTAAATTTGCGGTGCGTCACGAACAACTTGAAGCTCGTCACGAACCAAGATTTGTTGTTGGGTTATCACGAACAGAAGATTTGAAGCCGCCCGCTTATGATTTGAGTTCGCCTTTGAAATTTGACCACAAACGACGATTGCAGATATGGATGGAAACCTTGATACTATTCTTCAGAGGTTCTTTAGCCTTTCCTTCTGCTTACTTGCTTGTGTCTTAGCTTTCTCCTTTGACCCCTTTATATAGGAGTGGGGTGGAGTAGTCTCCAAGAAAATCCTAGTGGATCATTGGGCTTGAGGCTTATGGGCCGACCTATTTGATAGAAGACCAATTGACGGGCTAGCCCAATAATACATTTGACTTTTATTTAAATCAATTCATTTTAGATTTAAATAATCGACCCGATTATACTAGCCCATAGTATCATTTGGACTAATATGTATTTAATACATGATGAAATCCAAATTACTTGTGGATTTAAATTTAATAAAATTTTGTTTGTCTACAACCTTAAAAAAAGATTAAATTTTTTTCTATGAGAGCGAAAAGTTTATAAATACTTACTCAATAGTATCAAAATTTATAGTCTAATTAAGAGCCCGTTTGGACATAAGAATTTTTTTTAAAAAAAATAAATTCAAAACAATGTTGGTTATGAAAAATTTATATATTTTTCAAATCCAACTTGAAAATGCATTTTCGAATTTGAAAAACTGGTTACAGTTTTTCAATTGAAGAATTTGAAAGTTGGTATTTTTAAGTTTTACAAATTTATCCTATATTTTTAAAATTTATAAAAGGATCCCAATCAGTTATTAAACCTAGGTAACACCTACAACTACCCACCTTCTGATTGAGTGACCTTGGACTATATTTTGACATCCACTGTTGAGATCTACAATTTATACTTTTACTTGAAGGAGCCACTACAACTTGTATTAGAGATTGTTCGTGCAGTTAAACAACCAACATGTTTGATTGTTTGTTTCAAGTAGAATAATCAAGTCGGGGTTGCTTTGATATTTTTTACAACTTGTGGGTATAAATCATGTTTCATGATTTTGAAAAAAGTACATCCAAATATGTTTCAAAAATTATAACCAAACACAACTTCATCTTCAAATCAAATTTTAGTGAAATTTCAAATTTAAAAAAAAAATCTTGGAATTTATATCCAAACGCCTACTAAACTTCGAAATTAATTTTTCTTTTCAACTACAAAAATATAAAAATAATGTATATATAAAACCAATTTGATGATTTAAAGGTGAATTTGTATCATTCGTCTATTTATGTGGCTCTCCTATGAAACAAAATTAGCATAAACTTAAAGAAAATCTTTTTTTTTTGGATTTCCCATCCCATGTCCGTTATCTGCATTGGATCCTGATTATATCCGGATCGCGCTGCGTAGGGCTCCATTCGGAGGGGGGAGGGTACTCCTTATCAAGATTTTTTCATACCCAGGACTCGAACCCGAGACCTCTAGTTAAGGAAAGAGCAGCCCCTTCAGCAACACCACATCCTTCGGTGGTGACTTAAGAAAATCTTATACCCATGTACAATGATAAAAAAATGTTCTCTTTTAAGATCTAATAGTGTTTTATTTACCAATATCGTTTACATTATATTTTTAGAGTCCATTAGTTAAATGGTCACTCAACTATCTGAAATTATCAAGTAAAGTCATCTTTCTTTCGTTTGTAAGAGAAAAGTTACTTAAATAGTCTATAGCACTCACAAGGTCACTCAACCAAAATTTTTCAACTTTTGATTATCATATACCTTTTACCCTCTAAAATAGGTACTCCATTTGATGTTACAGACTTACCTACAGAACAAATAAATTTTATCTATAAAATAAAAAATAAAAAATTATTTTTCTAGCATATATTATGTTAGAATAATAATAGAATTGAGTATAATTTTTAAGAATATATAATGTATACTATAAAAATACCTTTATTTTAAATAATTATTTTTATATTACCTGCATGGAATATATATTATCAAACCTTTATTTTCTTTCATTCTCAATTGTGTAAATATTTCTTTTGGAGTTTTTGTTATTAATATCAAAATTATTATTACGAATAAATTGGTCTATTTTTTTTTTTGACTATGCTCAATATTTTATTATTTCCAACATTATATATGCTTAAACACTATTTTATTTTTTTAATTTATAAATAAAAAGTATTTTTTCTATATGTAAGTCCATAATATAAATTAAAAAGAGCAAAAAATCATAATATTAAAAAGTTTTAGAAAAATAAAAAGAAGATAAAAGTTAATAATTTAGAGGGTAAAATAGGTATTTGATAAGTAAAAGTTTGAAAAATTTAGTTGAATGATATTTTAAGTGCTAAAGACATAGTTGAGTGACTTTAGTGTTAAAAAAACAAAAAGAAAAGAAAAAGAGTTTAGTAGGTAGTTAGAGTGACCACTCTATATTCCAAATCTCTTCCAAATCTCACCGACCGTACTGTCATAATCGGAATTGGGGTGAACAATGCTCCACGTCAAAAACCCCATCTCATCTTCGCTCGCATGCACACACTGTCTTAACTATACAAAAGCAACAATCTTGAAATCTACTACTACAATAACAACACATTTATCTTATCACATATTCCAAAAATGGCTTCTCTTTCTATCTCTGTAAAGCATACTCTCCCTTCTCTGCTCCACAATCAAATCCCAAAAATCCCCATTTCCCAGAACCTCACCATTGTTTCCAGATCATCACAATCCCAGTTTTATGGTCTTAAAATCCAAAATTCACCTTCTTTTTCAACCCCTTCTTCTTCTTCACCTAAAATTTCCATTGTTGCTAAGGTAATATAAATTGCATTGCATTTGTTACCTTCTCTTATAGCTTTTCCATTTTATTAGTGTTTTCTTGATTTCTTTTCTTCTCTGTGTATTTTATTGGATGTTTGTAGGTGAACAAAGGTATAGTGCCTCCACCATTCACATTGAAAGATCAAGATGGCAAAAGTGTGAGCCTTTCCAAGTTTAAAGGCAAACCTGTTGTGGTTTATTTCTATCCTGCTGATGAAACTCCTGGTTGCACCAAACAGGTATATCTTATGATACTTAGATTTTGCAGTTCTATTTCTTATTAGTCATGTAATTACAGATTTATGAAGAAAAGAATTAAAACAAGCTGCTTAAAATATCAATCTGATTGTGTGACTGAACTGGAGAAAATTTTATCCTTTATAAATAGTGTACTGATGAAAAATTCCCTGGAATCATGAAGTCAAGATTAAACATAGTGTACTGAAGGGGAGCTTTAGCGTATCTGGTTTGACCCGTGGTAACAGCCTCTTATAGAAATGCAGGTAAGACTGCGTACAATAGACCGTTATGGTCCGGCCCTTCCCCGGACCCCGCGCATAGCAGTAGCTTATTGTACCGGACTGCCCTTTACACGGTTATTATAGTGGTAATATGAAACTTAGTACTGGAGTTGCTAGGTCCTCTTTTGAATGACCTTCCAATTCTGACCTATTTGTAAATTATCAGTATATTAGGTCCTCTGTCTCACTGCATTTGAATTTTTGAAGTATCTTTGCTGCAATGCAATGTTTATTCAAATGCCCAATGTTTATGTACCTTAACACCTCATAGGCTAGTGTATGGGAAGTTTTGCTTTTATGGATTTGGTAGCACTTCCTCTGATAAGTAACAAGATAGACTTACTGTTTGACTGGTTTTCTGGAAATCAGCGGACAATTGCTTCTTCCTTCTCAGTTTATATCTTTTTAGACTGTGATTTATTTGCTCTAGTGCTGACCATAGTTTTGTTCTTTTCTAGATTACTGTTGTTGAAAATTTAACTAGTCAGAGTTAGATTTACATTGGGAAGAGTATTAGACTATTGTTTTTCGTTTAACAGCTTTGTAACAATGATCTGCAAAAGTTACTTTTAGTGATAACCGATATGTGAAAACTGTCTACAGGCCTGTGCCTTCAGAGACTCTTATGAAAAATTCAAGAAAGCAGGAGCTGAAGTTGTTGGGATTAGCGGAGATGATCCTGCATCTCACAAGGTATTACACATTTACTTGCTTAATGAGAAGTACCTTGTTGAACAGCTAAATATTTAGGTTGTGTTCTGTTGCCATCTTTTGAGGATAACCGAGCCGAGGTGTTTGATTCTGCAGGCCTTTGCAAAGAAGTACAGACTCCCATTTACCTTGTTGTGTGATGAAGGCAACAAAGTTAGGAAAGAGTGGGGAATCCCAGGAGACCTTTTTGGTACATTGCCAGGAAGACAGACTTATGTGCTTGACAAGAATGGAGTGGTTCAACTGATATATAACAATCAGTTCCAACCTGAAAAGCATATTGATGAAACATTGAAGTTACTTCAAAGCCTTTAAATATTAAGGTTCTCCTTTCTATATTCTTTTCCTGCCTTTTATCTTGTACTTTTTCTGCCAATTGTATGTGACCTGAGACACTGTACAACCATTTTTAGTTGTTAGAATGTGAAACGAGGTGTTAGTTTGTAGTCTTGCTACAATTTATGCTAGTAGAATGTTGAATTCGCGGTCTCCCGAGAATGATAAAACTTTTGTATATGGGCCTTTGCTCTTTGTAGTAACTGCATAATGTATAATTTTCTTCATATGCTTGAGCTTGCCACATCTTACTGTTGTCGAAGCCCCGTCGATAGTGATGGATGGTATACTAAGTTACAAATGAAAATGGAGTAACTCAAACAATCTTGAAATATTAACTGGTCAACTGGTAGAACTTATTCAAAAGAACCTTTATTCCTCCTTTTGTACTAATAAAGACAGAAGCTTTAGTCCTAAGCTGAGGTAATCTACATTTTTGGATACCTCGCTTGAGACCATTCATACATGTGATGTTTATTCGTTTTCTTTTTACCTCCCTTTCTAATCAGAGAAATATACAGTATAAGCAGATACATGAAATAACAAACTACTACATAATTAAGCAGGATATTTTCAGATGTTACTGAATTTGGTTACTTCCCCCTTGCATAATCTTGGCTGTTGTAGGGACTAAAGGCTTCAGCCAACCAATTCTTCTTCCTCCAAGATTGCCATCCCATCTCTTCACAGATTTCATCACTATGGTTGATACTGAAAGTGGAGATGCAATTTCTCTTGTAGAATCTTGTCGTCCTCTTCATAATCTCCATCTCTTGTGTTACCTGTTCAAGCATTTTCTCAACAGGGGGAAGTTTAAATAGATCATCTACAAGTCGTGACAGCCAAATGCAGCGTATCTCAGCTGAATGCAGGTTTGAAACACTTTCAAGATAGCCCACGAAAGCCATATTTGGAATCAATGGATGAACTGTACCCCTGTTAAGGAATTGGAAGATAAAATAAATTCAGTATCCACCATCAACTATCAGTGGCGGTTCAATAAAATTTGTAGCCAGAAGCCAAGCTTTAATGTTGGGGCCTAAAGACACTGCTTCACCGGCCTTACCCTCTAGCCGGCTCTATCAACAATATTTCTCTGGCTAGGAATAAATAGAAATGTTTCATCCAGAGAGTGCCTAATTACCTGTACAGTGGAATCATGCCAGAGGGAAACTCTAGCAGACTGCGAAAGGGATCTGGTAATATGTCTCTGAGTTTTTTCTTCCCATCAAAGCCAGTTGCAAGTATGACAACATCAGCTTCCAATTTGGTGTTGTCCTCGAATTCAATTCCTCCTTCCCAGAACCACCACTTCGACAATGTTCTTTTGAACAAGATTTTGCCCTTATCAGCCTCAGTGAAGAAATTTTCAGGCAAGATAGCCATCTGACAAGATGCATAGTCCTCCTCAAAGGGGTGTTCTGGTTTCAGTCCATACTTTTCCAGTGGAAGTTTCCATAACAAATAGGACTCGATTAACTTCGAAGCTCCTCTTCTCTGTCGCAATATATATATGACACTTATGTTAGTCCTATGTGAAATGATGCACTAGATTTCACGAAGAAAAAACACACACACACACACACAAGAAAATAATGGGGCTGACCAGAGGAGAAAGCATTTGGCAAAGCAGGGTTCTGATCAGGCCTTGATTTGGTCTTGAATGTAGGAATTGAGAAGATCGAGTAGAATAGAACAAGTAAAATGGCAAACCCCAAATAGAGTAATGTGGAACTGTCCAATGCAAAGTCCTTACTACCATTGTACAAGCTTGGCCTTCAGGTCCTACAAGCAGTTACAAACAAACAAGTTCAAAAGATAAGCAAAAATTAGAAGTGAAAAAAAAGAAGCTAGGCGGTTTCTGTTTTTCAACCCTGAAATTTATTAATCTGTTGAGCAAGTTTGCTTTGGTCAAAGTCACGACTTCAATTGTAATGCGAAAAATCTATATTTAATGCGTATGACTTTGAAAGAAAAATATACCTATGATGCAGTCCTGAAGTCAAAGCATGAGACTTGAAAAATCAAAATACTATGCTTTTGACATTTATTCTCTGGTCCCTTTTTTGGTGACATCTCAGAAGAAACTAAAATAATTGTAAAGTTGAGGCTTACGTGGACAATCATGAATATGCTGGAATTGATTAATCAATATGATAACTACGGCAGCAGCTAGCATTTTCATGCAATATAAGAATAGTACTCATGTCAACAACCACAATTTAATTTCCTTTTATGGATTTTGACAAACTAACGTCCCTCTCTTTGCCTGCTTTTGGACATTACATATTTTTTATATTATATTATGCTGATAGTTGTAACAATATCTAGTTGCTGATGAAGATTAAAGGAGAAACTATGCATTGAACACAAATCTTTTTTTCTTTTTTGGGTTTCCCACCTGTTGTCTGCTACCCACATTGGGGCCCGACTAAATCCGAATTCGCGCTGGAAAGTCCCTTAGGTGATAAAGCACTCCTTAACAAAGGCGACACGATACTCAGGGTTCGAACCCGAAAACTCTGGTTAAGGATGAAGTAGTACTTACCACTCTACCACAAAAACCTTATTGGTGAACATAAATCTTTGTTAAGGAGTACTGTGTTCTTTGATGTATGAATGTATAATGAACAGAAATCTTTACCTTGATTTGCTTCAGCACATTCAACAGCAACATCTATTGCTGATTTTTTATAACCCACCACCACAACTTTCTTCCCTTTCAGAAGCTCAGTAGATTCTTCTTGATCAAGTTTAGAGTAATCAAGAGTATGCAGAACTTTACCCTTGAACATTTCTGGCCCTTTTTTCTGTGGAAAATTTGGCATATTTGGTATATCTCCATATTTTCCGGTGCACATCACCAAAAACTCGAACGCATACCACTGAAAAAGAATAAAACATGAAATGCATGCCAATTTATGTTAAATCCATTCTTCCTAATTCTATTGAAAACTAAGAAGGAAAGTGAAATATAATTACATATATACTTTAGGTCAACAACAATAACAGACCCAGTGAAGTTCCACTAGTGGGGTCTGGGGAAGGTAGTACATACGCAGACCTTACCCTTGCCTTTGAAGGGTAGAGAGACTGTTTTCGATAACCTCTCGGCTCAAGAAAAATGGAAAGAAATAGTAGAAATAACAATATCAACTATAAGGACTAGAAAGAAAATAACAACAAAATAAAAGCCAGAAAATAGATGGAAAAATGAAAAGAAATTAAGAACCTGTAAAGTTTCAGATTGATCATTGGTTTGGACAGCAACCTCCCAAACTGGATTGCCATTCAACAAACATCCAAATTCACCATTAATTTTACCACCAAAATAATTCATTTCTCGGTCACCAACGAACTTGATCTCCACCACCTTAGAGTTGAACTTGACAAATTTCAGCACATCAAAATGTTGAGCATAGGAATATAAGTATTCCAATATTTCCTCATAAGTAGGGAAACTCATATTATCCCTTTGACTCCATGGGAAATCAGAGAACTCATAGTCACAACGAGGAGTTTGCAATTTAGTAGACTTATATGAACAGTGTTTCCAAACCCCTCCAATACAATTCGTGGCTTCGAACACCACTGGCTCGTACTTAGCTAGCTGTTTAGCAGCTGCTATTCCGCTAATTCCAGCTCCAATAATTCCAATTTTTGAACGGATTATAGCCATTAGAAAAAATAGTTATCTAGCTCGAGTATAATCAAGGAAGAAATAGAACTTGAGAATGTGTATATAATTTTGAGAGTTTATAGAAAGATGGGATGGTTTTGGACGTGAGGGTTTGAGGTGGTATTTATAGGAATTTGCATGAGATGAGATGAGATGTGAAATGAAGTGAGAAAAAGAGAGAGGTGATTGCTACAAGGCACGTGCTTAGACTTGTAAGAATAAGTCCATAACAATAGAAGGCACGTACGTACCTATAGGTATTATTAATTGTCAAATAGTTAATGTTTAATAATTATAAATAGATCTAATATTGTTGACATTTGCCTTTTTGGCTATATTTTATTGTGTTGTAGTACTGATATTGTTGTTACGCGAAGTTTGTTAGCTATGAAATGGAAATTTCATTTAGTCAAATTTCTCAATCTGCTTCAAAAAAAATATCAGTTGAATTTCATTGCATCTTTCGTCCCTTATTTGCATCAAGAATATATTTGAAAATATAAGTTTGCTTAAAATTTTCGTAGAGTACATGCCTGGTAACATGTTGACCTTGCATTTTGGAGACAAAAAGAGCATAATAACTTTGAGATTGAGTAGGCTATTTTATTTTGAGACAAAAAGATGTCGTCATTTTGTATGTGTATGTGTGTATGTTGCTTATTGTAATTGTCAGCAAGCATTATAATATTCAAAGGAAGCAGACAAATATTTGTACAGAAAAGTCGTAGAATGTTCTTTAATTAAATAATGAAAATCTTTGGCATAATGTACTGATGACTAGATATATTTCGCGTTAGTTTAGTCTTATTCTGGTACTTGTTAACTGCATTTGGAGGTCAAAGTCCTTAAATCTCGTAAAACAAGTATTCTCTGAGGTTTAAATAATCTCGTCAAAATAAGTATTCTCTAAGGTTTTATTGTGTTACTACCTTGTATAAAAGTATAAAAGGTTACAAATAACAGACTAATTACTTTAATTATATTATACATGTTTCAGTACGTACTTTCACGTCTTCGCTTTCTAAGTGAATGTGAGATTTGAAACCCAAGACCCCTTGCTTGGTCTACTATGGTTCTAAAGTATGTATTTCATCTAAAAGTTTAAAATATTATAGAAAACACACTTAAATACTTTAATGTCTCAATATCTGAGAAATTAGATAAACTAATTTGTTTTTGAGGATTTGCACTCTAGATAATTTCGGGTTTCTGTTTCTGCCTTTTACCACATTCTTACTTTAAGCCTGACCATAAATTAAACAACAGTTAGTTAAATGTAACAATCCATGGAAGTTTCGTTCTTAGTAGAGCAAAGAACAAAACAACTACATGTATTTTGCCACAAGATGGAGAGAGACATCGGAGTGATAGCTCGGAGGGAGAGAATTAAGAGAAAAAGGGATCTAGGGGAACTAAGTAACGGTCCAACACACTAGTCATATTGTTCGCTTTGGGCCTAGTCCTGCGCAACTTTAAAATATATAATTAGAGTGTAAGGCTTGTTTATTTATATACACACCATCTCTCCCGTGTTCTGTTGATATGAGATTCGTGGGGTGTTCTGAAGTCCAAAATAGTGGCAAATATGCATGAACCATTTATTCTCACGAACAAAGAAAAAGTTGAGAATTGATAAGGTGACCCTTACAAATTTCTGCAGCCCATGGGATTATGGAATCAAATGAAACATCCCAGAAGATGTGAAGAAGCTTGAAGGGAAATGAGAGTCCTATCCAATGTTTGAAATGTATTAATATAATGCAAGATATTCCAATTTGATATATCACATTATATTCATATTTGCAATATTGAAGATGAAAAGTACACGTAAATCACTTCAATAAACACAACTGGGATTCACTAATTAATGACCATGTCCTATTCTTTCTTCGTTCTAGATATATATTCGGTTTCCCCTCCTACAAGTCACTGCCTACTTAGAGAAAAGTAAAGGTACTTTTGAAGTACTGTACCCTTTTATTCTCTAGTCTATCCTCCCTTTGGCCGGGCGGCTCAACGGATCTTGTGACTTAAGGCGAAACTATATTAAGAGGCCCTTAAATTTATTCTATTAAATTTGTACACTAACAACAAAATTTACTTTCTAAACAACAAATTAATCATTTAAGACCAAAAAAATAGCGAATTTAAAAATAAAAAAAAACTAGGAGGAAGAGCACAAAGAATAAAGTGGTGGATTATCGGATATTGAGGTCCAAAACTCAAAGTAAAATTTTTGATTTGGCTATTATCACAATCAATAAAAAGAAATAAATGTAATGATAGCTTAAGTTTTGAGCATTCATGGTGGCAAAAATATTTACTCCTTATAATCAATTTAAACGATAATTGTAGTTCATTCTATTAATTAGTAGCACTTATTCGTGAATATCTAAAATAAATTGTAAATAACCTAATATAATATGTTGAATTACACTAAAAGAAAATCGATGCATGAAGGTTTTTGTGTTCATGCAGTTTCAGAGAAGATTGTAAAAGAAATTCATTATGTTGTCGATATATAACTTAATTCCACTATAAAAAGGATAAAATTAAAATTGAAGAGTGAAGCAAATATACTAATTAATGAGTGAGAAAATTATCATAATTTATGAACTTATTGGTATAAAATAACCTCAATCAAATAACAAAAAAAAATATACTATAACATTTTTCTTTATAATAATTATTTATATAAATTATATAGTATATAGTAATAATAATAATAAGACTCGACCACATGATGAACATATTTTAAGCTAACGGTATGTCGAGCAAAAGTAGATTTGGGGCCTTCAAATTTTCGGGCCCTAAGGCAATGGCCTCACTAGCCAAGCCTTTAGAGTCACTCCTGCCTTTAGCGTGGGGCCACAGAGACCTTATTCATTCATTCAGATTTTTTTTTTATTTTCACTCGATGTTTTGTATTTATATTGACGCTTGACTAAAATTGAATTCACGCTAAAAAGTTACATATTAAGGAATAAACACTTCTTAGCATATGCGACTTCATATCCGAGACTCGAAGCCATGCAAAAATGTCACGAACCCAAATTTCCTCCGTAGGATGTCGTGATGGCACCTAGTCTCTAAGACTAGGTAAGCCTATCAATGCGGAATAACAATAGAAATATGAAATAAATAAGTCTGCAAATTCAGATAATTACAACTCCCAAAACCCGATAGGAATAAGCCACAAGCTTCTAAGAATTTTTTCTCAATGTCTCTATATATCAAAGTCTAAAGAAAAATAAAGAAGCAACATAATAAGGATTGAAGGGGGCTCCGGAGTCTGCGGACGCTGGCAGATATACCTCGAAATCTCCGTACACATGTAGCTCACTGATATTTGGGCTGGTAGAAAGTACCTGGATCTGCACAAAAAGATGTGCAGAAGCGTAGTATGAGTACACCACAGCGGTACCCAGTAAGTGTCAAGCCTAATCCCGGTAGAGTAGTGACGAGGTCAGGTCAGGCCTTACTGGAATAATAAAAGACATGGTGAAATGTATAACAATATAATAAAAAAAATAAAATAACAATGGAAATGAATCAAGTAAATAGTATGTCACCATTTAACTACACAGAATAAGGGCAAATAATATCTCGCGGAAACAAAACAGGAATTTTCAACTTTAAGAAAATTACAACAATAATCAAAGGCAAGCGACCATAAATAAATATCAACAAGGGTACTCTCGAGGTACCACCTCGTAGTCCCAAATCATAAATAAATTCACAATATCTTATTTTCTTATATCACCGTGGGAGCCTTCACATTAAATTTTAAAGAAATCATTTTCAACTTTACTAAAATCACAACAATAATCAAAGGCAACTGCGGCCATAAATAAATATCAACAAGGGCACTCCCGAGGTACCGCCTCGTAGTCCCAAATCATAAATAAATTCACAATATCTCATTTCCTTATATCACCGCGGGAGCCTTCACATTAAATTTTAAAGAAATTATTTTTTCCGAAATAGCATCCCGTGTTTTAGCCACCCTTATCACACCGCATGACTTCTAGTAGTTCCCCTACTAGCCACGCGTATCAAGCCACCCTTATCACATCGCATGCGTTTCAACACCCAGACCTTATACCACCACATGCTTATCAATATCACAATATATTACAATCTACACCTCCAGTGCTCAAATATTTCAAATTGCCAAAATAAATCAACAACAATAATATTTTCCACAATAGGGAGTTCACGGCTCAATCACAATGAGTACAAAAATCTCACAAAATATTCGAGAATAAATAACTCAGCAAAAATAATATTTTCACAATTTTTAACACGTTGCCTCAATACCAAATTTAAAATATCAATTATTTCGTATTAATAATATTTAAATTAAAGAAATTCAACCTTCAAATAATGCACAGAATAAAAGAAACCAAGTTTCAACTAAACAGGTAAAACAATTAGCAGGATAAGGTCAAGTAAATTTAAAGTATAGAAATTAAATCAATGATGAATAATATAACAAGATAAAATAATTTAATTAATATGCAACAATGATCTACATAATTTAAAGACATAATCTTCCATATTTGGTCTGTGTACACACTCGTCACCTCGTATACACGACTTTTGTCACGACCCAAAATCCATTAAGGTCATGATGGCACCGGACACCGCCGTCAGGCAAGCCAAAAATAAATACTTGATTTGGTTCTCATTTTAAATATTTTTTAAATCATATTTTCCTTCGATTAAATAGTAAAAGATGGAATTCACAGTGTAAATAATAATATTCTTAACAATTTCAATACAGAACAACCCATAATCACCCCAAAATCCGGTGTCACAAGTGCATAAGCATCTACTAAGAAGTAAAAATAAAGTACAACATCTGTCCGGAATACAACTTAGATAGGAAGAATACAAATAACTCTGAAGGAGACTCTGCTGCCTGCGGGTCGTAATATGGAATGCAGCTCACATAAGTTCCCGCATGCATACGCGCCTCTGCTCTCACAAGGCCACTAGTCACATATGTACCTGCACAAAAATGTGCAGCAAGTGTAGTATGAGTACGTAATCAACGTGTACCCAGTAAGCA